GCCAAATAGTTTCTTGAAAACGTGTACAACGTACGGAAGCTTAAAGTGACCATCCACAATACCGCGTTTCCGAGATAAATTTTCGTGGAAAGACGGAATACCCTGAAGTTTTGGACGTGTTTCTATGATAGCGTGATTGGAAAAGAAGGCTTAGAAGACTTAGGGCACACGTGTTACTTCCTTTAGACTTTTTACGATACTTGATTAACTGGTCGGCTGGTCAAATACAAACAGATATTCACGTCCAAAACCCACTTAGTCTTTCCGCATCCCGTCTTGCCGACAATCCAAGCACAGTGCGAATTTTTATACATGCTCATTTATCTTAAACCAACTTTAATAAACCAGACTTTTAAAATTACCGTCTTCCACAGTCAACTGCGCGTCCATGACCAAGAACACGTACATGTAAAGCGCTCCAGCCGTTTCGGCTTCCCGTTCCATTCGTATCGATATGTCTCCACCGCCACCAAGAGGTCTACCCGACCTATGTGCAGAATTATCGTCGGAACTTCTAAAATGTAGCAAAAAACCACATTTATCGTTCAAATAACTGCCCATATCAACCCCGTTAGATTCGGTGTCAGAATCTCCGAAGAACTTGGAGATTTCGTTGTTATGCTGGTATTCGAACAACCCTTGCGAATACAATTGATTTGGTTTAACTTCGACTGTAACGGTGGTTTTCGTAATGTGTGGATTGTAAAACCGTTGAGGGTTTTTAACCGTTGGTTCTTTGAACAAGATTCAAACGCCTTTCAAGCTTTTAATCATTTGATAGAAGTTTACATTCCACAACGTGTCCGACTTGTAGACCGCTTGCTTATTCCACGAATGGATCCTGTCGAATAGATAGTACACATTACCCTTGTGCTTTGCGCGCAACGATTGAGCAAAATTGCGATTGGTCACGACTTCGTATTCCAAAGTCAGATCCGAAATTGCATATTCCGCGGCTGTGTCGGTCGATTTGACAACTTTGTTGTGCCCGTTAAAGGTCAACTGGTAAGTCAGCAGTTCTTTAAATCCGTGGGATAAAATGGTCCATGATCTGTCAATATCAGAGCGTCTACGGAATCGCTTATCTGTTTTTAAAAGCGTCGGCTATAGCTTTGCCTTTACCGTCGTGTGCCGCTTCATTTTTGTTGCCCGCGCCTGATCGCAACTTGGCTATATTTTCCCTTTCTAAACCAAAGTGAGCCACATTTTCAGTCTGTGTCAAGGGTAGCCAATTGACTTTGTTGCTTTGTAAACTGACGTTGAGTTCTGAAACTAGGTTACGCGCGACGTTGTTATGCACTGTACGGTAGTCGTCCATTGAGCCGTCTAGTTCCAATTTGAAAGCCAGTTTTGTGGTACCAGGAGCAACGACGTCATCTACTCCCAATGCGGGAAATTTGACGTTTAGTGTGTGACCGGCAGCGATTAAGCTTGGATTGTGCGTAATAGTGACTTCGCGTCTTCCGCCTTTGATAGCTCGAGGCACTTTGAGCCGGTGGCTTGGGTTTAATTTCTTTGTGCATTGACTAACCATATCTTTTTATTATAAACGGTTTTATAATTTTAAAATCCTAAATAAAAAAGACATTGCAATCAACGATATACCGCCTGCAAAAAACATGTCTTTCTTATAAAACGTTTCGGCTCGCATTTCTGCCAATACGTCCTGGGTCTCTAAAAGCATGTCAGAGTTGTGATGTATGTCGGCTTGCATGTCCCCAAGCATGTGCTCGATGTTGCAACTGCTCGCATTTCTGTCAATGTGTTTTGAATTTCCCGCTCCGTTTTAAAATATATAAAATAAAATGGCGAGTGCATTAATGAAGGAGTTATAGTCAATGCGTTGGTGTTAACTGGTTCAATTTTTTTATTTAGTAGTTTGTCTCAAAAACGAGTAGACGAAAAACGAAAGCGGCACGACCTTGCTTTGGAACAATTAGCGCAAGCCAAGCAGACTTGGGAAGAAAATCGTGTACATTTGTTGGACTTTTTAAACGAACGCTTGAGACAAGAAAGCGTTAGTCAACAAGAATTTGTCAATGTAGACGAGGTGTTGCGCGCTTACGCAGAAATAACGTGAAAAAGTGTGTTGCCGTTACCACCCGAGCCCAAGTTGTTAGATTTTTACGAACCTTCAAAAAGTTACAGAATTGGTGTGGCTCCTTGGAGGAACCGCGTTGGTAGTTTTTTTTTGCCTTCCGGTATGATTAACTTTATTTTAAATAAACAGAGAATTTTCAAGATTGTTTTATAGTCCGCAAGGTTATTTGAAAGGCTAAAGCGCCATAGATCACTTGCACAAAAAGACGGGTGCAAACCAAACAGTTATGCGAGCTTGGTTAAATAAACAAGCCATTTGGCAAATGTATTTACTCGCTCCTGTGGTGAAACACAGTAAGAAGCATACAGCAAGAATTACGTTCAAACGCTGTCGTCAGGTATCTATATTACCCGGGTGAACAGGGGGGTGACACCGTCAAACGGGCCACAGATCCAATTTGGAGCGTAGACGTGTTTCAAATTGAAAGGCGCACGAGTCAATTTAAAGCGAGTCAATGGTAAAATAACAACGGGACCTACTTTGTAATACTTGCTCGACGGGCCAAAGCGTTCTTTTGTGCGAGAAGAGCTTCAATTGGTGACAGAAGACACCGAGTTACCGCCTTCCGATATTCCATAATGACCAAATGCCAATGTATCGATGCAGTTTGGTAAAATGTATCGTTTGTATCGAGTGAATGTAAAGCTGATGTAGATACGACCGTATTAAAGTCCGTTCGTTTGTAAACTTTGTTTGGTTAAATAAACAGTCTTTGTAAGACTCGTGTTACAGGTCACAATCACTTACAATGTTTGTTACCCCTTTGGCTTTTTTAGCACAGAGTTGTCATCTAGTTTGATCGAATACATTTTGGGCCTGATACAAATGGCTTCTGATACGCTTGCCCCACCAAATTCGTCTTAAAATTTGCCAATGAATTTGATGTTCTGCTGGGTACTAAAATCAAACTTATTGCGCATGTATAAAAGGTCTTGGTAAACGTCATCAGTTTTAATTTCGAGTAAACTGTCGGTGTCGGTGTAAAGCGAGCTTATTTGATCGCCGTAATGCTGTTTTAACGTAAGTAGTGGGGGACTGTTTGGTACAGTTTGACCTTTGCGGAAAAAAATGGCAAAAGGTCACATTAATATGCATAAGTATGGTAATAATATATCGATATGAATAGGAATGAGGTGTAGGGTGAGAAATTATGGGACAGAATGACCTTTGGTAAGGGATAGGCATAGGATAAGGTCAGAAAGTCTGACACAGGTTGACCCTGGTTTATGGGATAAAATAGGAATAAGGCACGGGGTAAAAATTTTGGGTACAATTTGACCTTGCTTGTGATAAAAAATAGTGGATTACCATTATACGGTAATACGGTAATAGCGAAGACCACGTCGACGATCCGTGGGCAGAATTTGAACAAGCCAACCGAGAGGACGGAGGAGTGGACGGTGAAGAGGAGGAGGACAAGGAGAACCAGCCGTCAAGGAAGAGGATTCGCGTGGAAAGGCCGCATGATTATTACGCTATTTTAGACGTTAATGAGAAGTTTGTAAAAACAGTACAGTTCAGGGACATGAATCATTTATCCTTACGCGAGTTTTTACTACGCCTGAGTTCCACCGTTTTTACGCGTCGATGAGTGAACGGTCGAGAAGTTTCTGGCTCGTATCGAACAAGTGTTGCAATCCTATCAACACATTCAATTGGCCGACCAGGTCGACATTCATTTCGTGCACATGCAGATGCAAAAAGGGGGAAAGACTTGGGTCTTTCCCCTTTCCCCTAAACTCACAGCGGGGTCAAAATTAAAAAATAGGACGTAATACCTGGCCAGAGATTTGCACGCTGAAGCGGGCGTAAAGGAAGGTCCGTGCGGCATTGGGGAAATACGCAAATTTCACGACGTCTTACCGAGTATCGCATCGTGGCTTATCCCACGATCATTTTAACGCCGCCATTTTCAAAGGGCCCGTCCGACGGCACTCCGGTTATCTGTACTGTCACGACAGTCATTACGATATGATCACGTCCATGAAAGTCTTTTTAAACAGGGGTTACTTTTGCAATGGGTGCCAGGTAGGGTATACTGCGAAAGAAAAACACACGAGATGCGTCGATGATTGTATCTACGTATGTCTCTAGGCTGCACGTCGGGCAAAATCACTACTTGGGTGCACTACTCCGAATGTAACCGCAACTTCAAAGACCAGCGATGTTTCCATAATCATAAGGGTAAACGAATCAAGGACAAAACGGTCTGTCAAACGTATTATAGGTGCAAGCGCTGAAATTGTTTCGTAAACAGGGATCTGAATAGTAAACGCAGTGACACAATTGTACCAGAAGGTATTGCACCGTCTTTAAGGAAATGGGATCGATCGATCACGAGTGTTTCATGAAACCGGTTGAAAGTAAGGGGGTCAGTGATGGCAACAGCAGGTATGGTGACGGGAACGAGAGTAAGGGGGAGGAGTGCGATAGTGAAACGCAAGGCAAAGGCAAGAAAACACAAGCCCTGGCTAAATACGTATTCTTTGATTTTGAGTGTATTCAGGATAACGGTGTACACGAACCCAACATGTGCGTTGCTCGCGGGGTCTGCGTGCTTTGCGCCAAAAGGTCGGAAGACGATCCAATGTATAAATCGTGTGAGCACTGTTCCCTTTTGCGCGAAAAGAAATTCAAAGGGGAGAAATGTAAGGAAGAGTTGTGCGATTGGTTGTTCGGTTCCAAAGATACGCTAAATTCAATCGCCTTGGCGCACAATCTGAAGGCGTACGACGGGTATTTTTTTGCTCAGTTACTTGTCCGATAATACCATCATACCCAAGATCATATACACGGGATGTAAAATACAAGCCACCATGTTACCGCAGTATAAACGCAAAATTATACATTTCATGAATTTTCTGCCCATGGCGTTGGCCATGTTGCCCCAAGCCTTCGGTCAGAAGGAACTGCACAAAGTTGTCACGGCCTCGGCAAATTTCAACTCCAGACGCATGTTACTACGCTTGACGAGGTTGAAATGAGACCCGCTCGACAAGTCCGGAGACAGATTAAAGGCAAAGAGGGAGTATCCCGACTCGTAGTCTTCCCTGTTCGTCTGATTTCCCTTGTCTCGAAACAGGGTATTTATACCGGAAAACAAAGTCTGATAGGACATCATGTACGCTTCGTCTTTGCCGGAAAACTTGGGTTGAAGAGGTCGCCATGTCGTCTGTTTGTTATCCACGTACAGCCCCAGGTAATTTAGGCCGTAATATTTAAAGTTGTAGGGGTTTTTATGATAGTCGTCGTTGAAGGCCGTGTTATCCACTACGCCAATCACCATGCGCCGGGAGATCTGCCCCAGAAACAAATTTTCGCGGGTAAAAGATTGATTTCCTTGCGGAATAGAAAATGCCTTTATCTCCACTCTGCGCAGCGGGTATTTGGCCGTAGCACTCTGTAGGATTTTGGCGTGCGCTAGAGCCACAGTGGGACTGACGACCACCTTTCTCACGTACAGAGAAGCTTCCATAATCTTTACTTTGTAGTGTCAGGTAAAGCCGACATTAAACAGAAACTGTTTTTGCGGCTCTCCTTCGACAGTTAGTATCTCCGTTTTAATCCCTCGTTGAAATTTTCTTCCGCAGTTGGATCGTCAGAGTCCATTTTTCCCGCCGTATCTTTGTAAAACAGGGCGGCTCTCAGCTGCAATGCCTTGGCCGATGGTCCGTAAGTGAGCAGGGTTTCCATCCGTGCTCGGTACGGGTACTTGTTGGAGGAAGACGAAACGAGTTTGTCGTTGAGCGTGACATCCACTTTGGAGAACAGGGAGTGAAGCGGTAGATTCATGGGAGCGACGGGGACATCCTCGCCCAGGTTGGCGCCATTTTCATCGACCACTTTAGCTTTGACGTTGATCAGGGTGTGCGCCAAATCCAGGTAGTGCTCGGTGGAACAGGTGATGTTAAATTCTATAGAGTCCGATCCACGATATTGGTCAGTCGGTTGTACTGTACCCATTGCCCTTTCAAAATGGAGGTTTGAGTGGGCGATCCAGTTCGGACTTTGTGCATTCGCACGAATGTTTACTGATGAGGCGGATCTGAACAGTCCTAAAATATTGCCCAGTTCGTATCCCTTCTGAACGGGGGCACCTCTGAAATAATAGTCCCCGCCCCCCGCCTGATTTTGTAATATTTCTCGTAGTCCACCATGACAGCTCAAAACAAAGAGGGACGACTTTTGCGAAAATGAAGCGTAATGGTGAGTTTCCCGCATTGAAATGGCCTTTTCTCTCCCGTGTCGGTCCTTATATCCACCTGAATCGTCTCAATAATGGATCTCGGTCAGGGCAACCTCCCAGTGTCCGGTCAGATTAATTGGCTTGTTCAAGTGCGTGGTGTAACTGGACAGGGTATTGTTCGGGTACAATGACGTGAGTAAATTACTAGGCAGCGTGACGTAAAATTGCGTGGAAGACGAGGCCATGGTTGCGTCCTTACGACTGCAGATCCGTCACCCAACTGTTGAACGACGAAGGATACCCTAACCATTTAACGAAAAACTCTGTCTTTCCCTTACTTCTGCGCTTCCAAATCACTTTCTCCACTCGGTACAGATCGTCGGTTTTTCGCACCTTTTGCAATTCTTCCTCGTAGAACGCACCGCGAATAGCTTCGCCATTGCAATCTTTTAACGCGTACACGGGTCTTGTTTGCCAACCACTGCGTATGGCTACTGTAAATATCTCCTCGGATGGGAGGTAGAACTTTCCAAAGGTCACCCGCCGTTTACTGACGCGAACCTTATCCCCCACTTTAAACCGAAATTTAGCGTGTGCCTTGCACGGCGCATACAGACGTTTCCAAACAACGCTTTCATTCGCGCCGGTGACTTCAGCGGGCTTCATTCCAATGGCATGGTGTGCGAGTGGTTGTAGGCCTTCACCAGTTGCCCCACGACGGATGCTGTGTTCTCCCTGTTGGTCGTAAAGAAATGTATCCCTTCCGTTTTAAGCATTTCTTGGAACGGAAGGTTGGTAAATTCACTGCCTTTATCCGTGTGAATCATCACGGGAGGTCTGCCGCTAGATCTGACGTTAGTCTTGAAAGCATTCACCAACGCTTTGCCCGATTTTTTTTTACGGAATAACCCAGGCGTATTTGGAAAACACGTCGATCCAAGTCAGCAAGTATCTATAGCCTCTATTGTATTTGGATAAACTAGATACGTCTACCAGATCTAGCTGATGGATTTCATCCCGACCCACGGCCATCATTCTATTTCTGGGAGGTTTATGGAGCGTGTAAGCGTCCTGTCCTCGAAGAAAGTCTTGAATTTGCTTTCGGTTAATCTTGTACTTTCCATCTTGCTTGGCGGCGCGATACAATTTGTCTACGCTACTCAGACCGCTTTCGCGGTCAATGTCGTAATAGAGAGACTTTAAATACGTTTCCATTATCCTGCCTCGGCGAAGCCAAAGTTTAAAATGACCGCTTAAATGGCTGTTTTATTTGTCTAAAACGTTATTATAAAACTTAATATATAAGAAAAAACCAAGTCAAAACAAAGTACTTTATGTACCTATGTGCTAATACATTCTTCAAGTCTATCACCACACAGCTCCTCCAACATGTCCTTTAAAAACCGATCTAACAAAGTCTCTTTGTCTCCATTATGCACAAATGTTGGGTTTGCGAGGGATGGTCGATTTCACATCCCCCGCATCTGCGTCCGACAAACCCCCGGAACATTGCATCGATACACATTGCTACGTGGAAATATAACAAAATCGTTGCCTCCGTGAAGAGTTTATCGTGGGGTGGGAGGACGGGTGGACTCGCCGGGGGAGTCAGAGGCAGGACTGGCAGGACGCCAGGAGCCGAAGCTGGGCTGTCCGGTGGAGGGCTGACTATCGGGCTTGGAGTGGGAGCCGGGACGACGGGTGGAGACGGTTGCAGAAATACGTCGTCGTCTGCGTATAAAAGAAAATAATACAAATCTGTTTTTATTTCCTAACTGGGAAGATGCACGGGTGATGCATGAGGTGCGGGCGGGGGAACAGCCTGTCCCCACATGGGGTCCTCCTCAGCCACTAGGGCGTCCAACTTCCGCTACTCCTCCTCGGCGTCAAAGGTGGGTCCGAAAAACTTTTGGGCCATAGCGACAGTTACAGTGGTGATGATGACGAAGGTGCAGATAGTGCTGGCAGTGCTGATGGCGTTGGAGCAAGATGGGTCTCGAGGGGCAACTCTGCCCCTTTTAACCATTTCCCTGGTCTTTGTTCGTTGAATTTCCCGCCAATTTTGGCGCCAACCAATTAACACATCTGGCGCTTTGTTCTACCCGATGCAAGCGTCGTCCACTTCTTTGATGGCTTCATCGATGGCCGGTATCATTGTCTTGAGCAGCTCCCACTCCGGAACCGTGAGGTTAATCCCTCGTCCAGGAGCAATTGGAAAGCCCTTCTGCTTTGTCTGGTGATAATCCCTTATTTTTACGTAAGGTACATCCCCAAACCTCTCGATAACGACGTATCGATCGTTCTTCAGTTTCAATCTCTGAGAAAAAATTTAATCTTTAACGGTTTTCTGCGGCACCTTTGATGACGTCGTCAATCTCGCTTCTGGTTAAAGTAAGTCTGGCTTGTTTGAATCTATCGTAGGTACTTGAGTCCGCTGTTCCATCTCGTGACAACTATAATTTGGCCTATACGGTGCCTTTGATGGTGTCGTCATTCTCTTTTCTAACAATGTCCTCTTTCTCGATTCTCCGTCCAGCTTGATTAGGTTCAGGCTTTTCTCTTCCAAAGACGCTTGAACCATCGGGGCGCGTTCCATCTCGTTACAAAATTCGGAGACTTCATTGAGACCACCGGCCATATCCCAACTATGGGTGAGTCTACACGACGACAATGTGTTGCATTTGGGGAACCACACGGCTTGTGTTTTTTTTCCGAACAGGTCATCTTGGCTCGACTATTTCAGACAAGATTGATGTCCCTTTGCCCCTTACGCGATTTTTATATCATTTACCGATTGAAACGTGATGTCTTTTCTAAACATAGATGATGAGATCATTTCCAAACATAGATGCTGACTCATCATTTTTACATGAATCTGCGTGTATTATGGTTACAGAAATTCGTACACTCCCACAGATACATTACACCGTTGACACTCCATGAGAAGCCTTTCGATCGTAGCTTTTTATAATGATGACGTTTCCATTGAACGCATGCACTAAAGCATTGTCTATACAAATCGGCGCTAGAAAGACCGAGAACTATCAGGTCTTCTCAAGGTTTCGTTGCCTCCTGTTCTTTGACGAAATTACCCGCCAATTCTGCGAGCTGTCGCTCCGTTATTTCGGAGGCCAGGTACATTAATCAAGGACACCCCTCCGTTTGCCCGGTTTGTATTTCCCGGCACATATCCATCTCTGCTACGTTTTGAATCAAAAATACATCTGAATTACTGCGTCAAAATCACTGCCTTATAACTTCTTTCTCACGCCCAAATTTTATTATTAATATTATTTAATGTTTGCTAAACCATCGGATTGTTACGCGTCCCCGCGACAAATTAACTTCCTTTACGTTCCCCTCATTTATCCCAATAAACCCAGCATCTTTTATGTCGTTATAAAATCCGCCAGAAGAAAGAGCCGTGGTAACGATTGTTAGACAAGCGCGCCCAAACGATTATCTAAGGCTTATCTCCATCATTTAGCCCCGGCGCCACAATGACTACCTCCATTGGGCTGATGAATCAACCAACCATTACCCACAGCCATTGTCTAGGGATTATCCCTCTCATTACCCAAGGCCATTACGTTCCGTTGTCTTGGGATTATCTCGGTTCCAGCCTGGCGGTCCGCGCGGTCCATTGTCCGGGAATTATCCCCCTGATTACTGGGCGACGCGTACGGTCCTTTGTGTAGGGATTATCGCTTCCTACTTCTTAATTACTTTTGGATCGCCTGGTGGGCCAGTCAGTATACCATTACACACGATATGACTCATCCACTATATTTTATCGTAAGCAAGGTCAAATTGTACCCAAAATTTTTACCCCGTGCCATATTCCTATTACATTCCATACACCAGGGTCAACCTGTACCAAACTTTCTGACCTTATCCTATGCCTATCCCTTACCAAAGGTCATTCTGTCCTATAATTTGTCACCCTACACCTCATTCCTATTCATATCGATACCATATTATTATTATACTTATGCATATTAATGCCACCATCTCCAAAGGTCAAATTGTACCCAAAATTTTTATCTCGTGCCTTATTCCTATTTTATCCCGTACACCAGGGTCAACCTGTACCAAACTTTCTGACCTTATCCTATGCCTTTCCCTTACCAAAGGCTATTCTGTACTATAATTTTTCAACCTACACCTCATTCCTATTCATATCGATATCATATTATTACCCTACTTATGCATATTAATGTGACCTTTTGCCATTTTCGTCCCAAAGGTCAAACTGTTCCAAACAGTTCCCCCACTACTAACGTATTGTGATAAGAGTCGTACATGAGCATTTTGGACAACTCTAGTATAGCAACCCCTGCATAAATTGGTTTGTCTAGCTTGACTTTGGTCTTGTACATTTCAACAAAACTCATGGTACACGCTTCAAAAGGAATCCTTCGTTTAAAACTAGGTTTATTGGCGATGCGCCTAAACTTTATGACGTCATTGTCGCGCATTATTTTTGCGTTTCAACATTTGCGTACATTTTCCATCGTTATACCAAATACCGCGTTGTTGGCAAGTTAAAAAGTCTTGATCGATGCGATGTTTTGCTTGTTTGTGAAGGTCTGTATTCTTGCCGATAAAAGTACGTAACCAAGGCCGTTGTCTAAATTTCATCACACGGTGCACTTGCATCAATTTTATACCTAGTCACAAAAACAATTGTAGTAATCGGTACTGTACTACGTAACAATTTTTATTTCCTAACGTAGAAAGGAGTTTTTTTAACAATGGGAGCTTTGTAATTCAACATTGTTTGTTATTGCGAGCTAAAACGATCGAGTTCGATCTTCATGTACAGGAAATTCGTTGAAAAGATCGTGTAAGTGATGCAGTACATTGAGATCGGCCTCAATCATGTGCCCACAGTGACCCGCGGGGCCTACATTTAGAATGTAATTTGTGGTAAAAGTTGTTCTATTTTCAACCCATTTAAAGTTTGAATATAGTAGATACTGGCTCATAGCCCACCCATACAAATTATTTGCGTCGAGGTACAACAAGCAGGCCTAACTTTTAGGCGCGTTGGGTTATAATCAGTGAGATATTTGTTATTGGCTTTGGTATAACGTTTACCACCGACGCTCGAGATGCCACCTTTTTAGCTTTTTCAAAAAACAAAAGTCCTGGTGACGTATAGTAATTTGAGGGATCGACACCATAATTGTCATAACATGTATTTCTAAAATGTATTTGAAACACTGCTAAAAGCAAAGTGTCTCTTTTGACATATAGGTCATGATAGTCACCCAAGTTTTGACAACCAAACGTTTTATACACATTTTGGGATAGGAAGTATTCTTCATTAGAAATGCTTTGTCCATTTTAAATAGTACAGAAATACTTACTCTTGTTAATGCTCTGTTGATCACAGTGTGGTAATTTATTTTTTCAATGAATATCATCGATAAATTATTTTACGGCAATTTATTTCAAACCATGGAGTAAAACCATAGGTCATCAGATTTAAAGATATATGCATCAGTTCCAACGGCCTTTTTTTTGGGGGGGGGATTTGATGAGAAAGCGGAATTATCACATAAATTAATGTACCCTGATCTGACATATCTGGACTGTATTCCAAAACCCATAGCATTATGGACCCATAAAGAGTTGAAGGGCCAGAAGTCACATAAAGTAGTGACTTACAGTTCTGTTAAGTAGAACGTTTGCGCGCATTGAGTTTACTTGACTTTCCTCACAGTGTTGCCAAACCTCTTTGTTGAAAAACTTCAAATCCACTTGATTAAATTTTGGTAATATTACATTCAAGTTGCAGGCTTTTAAACCATTGTGAACTTTTGCAGAGTCAAGAAATTTCACCCGAATTAAGAGTTCAGTTGTCCACCCCCTCACGTGGCGCAGTTGAAAAAAAGCTTATAAAACCTCACAGAGACATTTACGAAGTCCCTAAAACTTGATAAACTCTACTACATCATTATTACCACGACTCATATCCCCAACTAAAAGTTTGATAGGACAGTTATTTTTGTATTTTTGGGTGAACTAAAACAGTTCCCTTTTGCACTTGGGGAAAATCAGGCCAAAATAAAATGTCATCGGAACTTTGTAGCGGATCAGTAAAATCAACATTTATGAATCAGAATACCGGGAATTTGTTTAAAATTTCCATTTCCATGAAATTCGAGATAAAAATATGGCTCCAACAAGACACTAGAGACAAAAATTCAAAGTGCGCCACGTTAGGGGCCACGCCATGTTAGGGTACATCAATAATATACCATTTTAAATCAATCAAAATTTTGAAACCATGCCACTTAAGGTCTGATTGATTATGTAGTTTAAATTTTTGCACTGAATGAAAACATGGCCTAGTTCTTGATATGTATGTTACTGTCAGGTACCTCATCTTGGGCATCCTTTTTCAGCACACGTTATGATTCTTTTTAATATTTTAAGTCCCCAATTTACTTTGCAGTTCGAATGCATCATCTACTTGCTTACATATTAAGCTTTTATAGCATTCTTATATTAACATATACCTTTAATTAATTACTTTCATCACTGTTAAGTAGCTTGACAACTGGAAATACTTTGTCCTAACTGACAAGATTGTTAGTAATAAAAACTAAGAATTGTTTTGATATTGATAAGTTAATTTATGTCATATAAAGTTTCAGCTTTATTTCAGACATATTAAAATAAGCATAACATCTTAATTTGCATGATCAGCTGGAATAAAAAGGGTAAACTGTTGGAGTCTTCAAATCAGTATACACAAAACAATACAGTTTTCTGAGTAATTCAACAAATCAAAACAGAAGCATTACTTTCCTGATTCACTACAACTGACAGATAGTTGGATTCTGAAGTGTAACTATGCAAGCAATCTCAAAATTTAAGGTGTATATTGTAAGCTTCTGGATTAATATGAAGATTCTGGAATTTTGGTTCATTTAAACAACTTTTTTCACAAAGTATTAACCAAATGTGTTACAGATTAAACATATTCTGTAAAGGGCTAGCTACATGATATAAGCAAAGTATAACACCTAAATGAAATAAAAGAATCAATGTAAAATATTTATTCTTTTAAACTCAGTATACTTCAACAATTAAATTCCTAGTGAGCAGCAACTGGCTTCAGAACTTTTGTGAATTTTGTAGGAGCACTCAAAGTCCCAAAGAAAAAGCAAAAAACCCTAGAACAGCTAGTTTTGCACCGAAAAGGATATAGATAATTGTGATGATCCCTGTGAATGACTACCATGAAGCTCACATCCTGTAACTTATTGAACCCCCCAATCATTTTTAATAGATCTATGACCAGCTTTAACTCCATCATTTCTAGATGTTGATGAAAGATGAACTTATTTAGAGGGCACAAGTTCATTTTAGGTCAGAGTTCTCCAAACACCTTGCGGATCAAAAGCTGGGCCAACAACCGGTTGCAAAACACTTATTCTGTTCAAAATTAATAAAATTCACTAATTTGTTTCATTATTGTTGCTAACTTAAACATCACATCTAATATTGTTTGCCCAACAATTAATATGTTAACAGGAAGTATTCCAGACAGGTACAAACTTTACGGTAAATCTGGCTTGCCAATTCAATTCAAGTGATGTATTTACAGTTGGAAGGAATACTGCACGGTTTGCAGCATCAACACAACTGCCGGCTGTGCATACTATTTAATTTCACTGCCATACGGGCGATTACAATTACAGTGTAAATAAAACAAACCTTCAGATCTCGTATACAGGAAGCATTTTAGACTTCCATTGGTTCTAAAAGATATCAGGGCATTCTGACCATTCCCCTTTTTCTTTACACTCCCAGTATCTGTTGTTATATATGTGAGTGACAGTCTTGGTCAGTGGGTCCATCTTCCTGTCGAACCATATTGGCTTGTAGCTATCAAAGGGTTTGCCTGCAAAACACAGAGTGGAGAGACAAACTGAAGTTGGAGTTGAGAATCTAATTATAAGGATACATCATCAAGTCTTCTACAGCTATGGAAGTCCAAACGGGGTGTTGATAAAGCTTTTTCTCGAGTCAAGGAGAGGGCTGTATTTAAAAACTTTCAACTTTCAAAAAGAAGTTGGGTCAGTTTATTTGAAGTAGGTGATATAGACTGGGTTGGATGAGATAATGTGGATGGTATTTAGCATCAGTAATTTGGAACAAAGGGGCTGTATTAATTATGTATTAAACACATGCTAATCAAAAGATTTTAGACAATGACCGTACCCTAAAGTTGATAAGATTTAGGTTGAGCGGGGTAGGATTGGTTGATTTGGGCTGATTTGGGTTTTACTAAAGAAACTGCCAAATACATGAACTTAGCCAAGATGGTTATGGAGCATCCTTGTCAATCAGTTTCCAGCATGTTTTAACCATGATTTTGCTCGCTTAAATATATAATTGTATTTGTAAACAAAAGATTTGTATTTAAAGCTGTTTACTCATTGTTCACTGTTATACACACTTTACTCATCAACAATGTTCACAATTATTAAACTGAAAAATATTGCCATGAATGCAAACTGCCGAGGTATTCAAGTGCATAGCTTCTGGACTTGTCCAGCTTGTGTAGGGCAGGTTCCATGGCTTGGATGATGTTGGCTGTGGGAACAGAATGAGACGGTATGGCAAAGTTCATTCCTAAGGTGAGAACTTGTTTTTCGGCAGGAGACAAAGCCTGTTGACTGAGGTTGACAATGATGTATTGCTGGTGTAGATGGTAAATCTGTCCCCTGGTGAAACTGTCTGGGGGGGCGGAAGTACCTACGTGTATTAAGTCTCCCTTACGGCCTGGTACATCTGTCCCTCTCCAGGTAATTTTGTCCCCTCCTAATAATTTTGCCCCCCTTGTTCTGCTACATAGAAGTTGTAATTTTCATGTTGGGAAGATGAATTCAGTCCACATGAAATAGTTTTTAAGCCCTTAACCACTTCGGACCGGGGCATTTTTCAACGTTGAGGATGCTGGGCCGGCATGAC